TGGAGTGGTCGGGTGACATATCTGTATATCAAATCCTCTGTTTCCACTGATGTGCATTTCAGTGTAGAAGATGTAATTCGGTGCTTTATCATGAGCACTCATGCTTACACTCACAAAAGGAGAGATCAGGAACCAGAGGGTCTACACTCGGTCGCAAATGTTTCCTGGGCACGTAGTAGATGTCCCAAGCAAGGCCCTGTGTCCTGGGGCTTCAGCTGTAGACAGTACAGTGGGGTGTCTGACTCATCGAGGGGAGTTCCCCGGCAGCTAGGAGGAGCCACTGAGGAAACAAAGGTGGATCTTTGATACTGGGTCAGTTTGGTTCACCTCATGGTTTTGCTAGATTTGTCGAAGGATATTGGGTAAAAGAACTATCCGTTGCAGTCTGTGCTTTCTTGTCTGTAAAATGAGAGTAATAATACCACTGCAACCTTCTTGTCAAAAGAATTAAAGACTCTAAATTTACAGACAGCCTGACCCACACACAAAATGCAGACAGTAGAGGCATGTTTTTAATGCCTTTTTTGATTCCATAGCTTCTGTGCCTCGCGTCACAGCCGGCACATAGTAGGCACTCAACGAATCGTTAAGTGTAACTGAATGACATCCTGCTTGCCCCAACCATCCTCATTTAGTAAACCAACACGTATACTGTGGAGTCATTGTTTTCAGAAAAGAGCTTGCCTACCATTATGTACACGTTGTTGTATAGACCATTTAGATGGATCAGATGGTCAGCCAAAGAATTGATAGTAAGACTTTTGTCACATTGTATGATGTTTTCGTTCCTTTGAATACTACTTTATAAATTTCTTTGAGTTCCGGAATGCTTAAGAAAACGCTGAGCAAGTGACACGTGATGGAAATTTAACCACATGTAAGTACTAAGTTCTATATAAAATACAGATGCACTTGCTCTGTCTTAAATAATAACAGTATTGAAAGAAGCTGAAAACGTTAATTTCTAAAGGATACAACAGGGAATTGTGATTAAATTATTATTTCTTATACACAACTGTACTTCTAAGCATTTTCTATAAATATGGACTGGTAGTGGGGACAAAAAAGAAAAATAACCCTACATTTGAAGTCAACCAAAAAGAAAAATGCCTTTAGGTTTTTTTTTTTCTTTTTGTAGTGTTTGAATAGAATACAGAATTGGAAGAATTATACATTTTTCTCTTATTATTACTGTAAAGGCTTGGTTGAAATAAACTATGACTATGGAGATTAACTAAGGGCCAGAGCAGAAAAGAAGGAAGGAAGAAGGAATTAAACGGTATTTAGATTTTCCTTTTTTTCTATGAGTTAGATGGATTGTTTGGGAAAGGAACAGAAAGTAAAAAAGGAAAATGACAGATTATACTAGACTTTTTTCCTATTTGAGTTTATCATTTTCACTGATACTGAACTGCTGATTTTAATTAGGGATTAACAGCCTATAAAAACATGTGTTGATGTGGGTATTTAGTGCATTTCAAAAATGAATCCGTGAATCACTAGATTATATGAACAGAGTTTGGGTTCTCCAGAAATGCTATTTGACGTCTATCTACGTATGCTTTAGATTAGCCATCATTTATGTTTTAGTTTAACCACTAAGATGCAGTCCTTAGATAGGATATGGTAGCTCTCTTAAAATAACAAACCACAGCCTATAACTAAGTTAGGACAGGATGGATTCAAAAGTGTTTGGATGAGCTGGGGAAAATGATAAATGATGTATTATGATTTTTAAATCCTCATCTGGCCAACTTTGCACTTTATTTCAAACAGCTGTCGACCATTTGGAAGCCATTTTGTAGCTCACCCGAGTACTAATATTTACTGTGTGAACCACATATCTTTAAAATATTTGTCTTTCCCTGAGAGAAAGAGAGAGAGAAACTGTTTCTTTCCCAGACTTGACTTTGACATAAATCAGACCCATCTTCCTAGGTTAGATGGTTTGATCCCTGCAAGGCTTGTTCATTGCCAAGTGCAGTCAGCATCATCTTCGGTTTCTGCAAGTAGGAGACTTTCTGCATCCATGAATAGAGGCTTTGAAACATTTTTGAGGAACTTTTTACTGGGGAGTTTTAAGTAACTGTTCTAAAGTAAGAGTTTCCCACTTCACCTGTATGAGGAATTCTTACACAGTTTCATCATTCTCTCACACATCCAAGGCCTTTCTTCGGACGTATATGTCAAATCTAGAATTCAGAAAGCATCCATGTGCAAGTTTAGAAGGTAGCATCAGTAAGACATACAGGTTGTATAATAATGGAGCCGTTAGGTAGTTCTCAAAGGTGAAGGTTCTAAATTACTGTCAGGGAAACCACGTCAGATTTTAATTTCACTCTGGGCTACTCCCCTTTAACTGCAACTACAGAAACAGACCTCTTGAAAGGACCACCCTTTGAATCCTCCTTCTGAACATCTCAGCTATGCAGGAAAGAGCAGACCGATCAATCCACGTAATATGACGTGATGAGTTTACTCTTTTCTAAAGTGCTATCTGGCCACTGTTGCGATGATCCCACGTAGCCAATCATCAATAGGCAATAGGGAGCCATTTCTAGAAGACAGGGCGCTCTGCATGCTAGTCAGGTATCCTGTAACAACATCGATCCCAGAGTGAAACCAGGGGGCACATATCCAGCCCAAAACATACTGAGTTAGCCACCTTTCTCCACTGGTTGTTAATCAACAAATTTCGGGAAAGTTAACACTTTGTGTGAGGTTGACTCCCAGGAGCCCAGCAAAAGGGTCGGCACTGGAGTAACACTGTTGCTGTTTCAGTAGAAACCAAATGCAAGAAAGATGATAGATGCTATAATCAGGCCTTCTGACAACACCATCGTATCTACTGATACTTAGAAAATGATGCTTCGGTCAACGCCATGGACCAAAGGATGTTGTGTTCGCCTGTAGGAGTTCAGCGAATCCTCGTTAGCTGACTGGGGGTCACTTGGAGTAGCGTGTTAATGAAAATGTGATGGAAATGTTTTGGGTATACAAGTGGATATTACCATCGAAGACATATTTACTAAATATTTACTTCAGAGTCCTGAATAGCATCTCTGTCTATGTGGGGACAAAACCCTCTCAAAACAGCTTTAAGGTATTAACAGCAAATGTAAACAGTGTCAGTTGAAGATCACGAATTATAAATCATGTCTTGGAGCAGAGGTTGAAGGGAAAACTATAAACAGAAATCTGTCTCTCAAGAAAAAAATAAATCAATAAAAAGCAGGAGAGCTCTGTGTCTCTGACTGACGGTGGCTGAACCAAGATGTATAATATACACATACCGTACTACTCAATGGCATTTGTTGCATGCCGGCATTTATTTGCTTTGACGTGCGAATTTTCAAAAGAGAATCTGAATTTGACTTCCAATAATTAGCTTAGTGAATTCCCAATACTCTTGTACTTGAACCAAGGAATGTATTGGCTTTTTACTAACAAACTTCTTTTGCGTTTCTTTGGTTTTGTATTTAGTAAAGATGGCACAAGGATTATATGATGATATTGTACGGATTCATAATTGCCTTATCATGATTGCCTTTTATTATACCAAAATACAGAAGTCGAGGCTGAAGACCTCCCAACTGAAAAACAATTAGCACCTTCATTTCATAGGGTCTTTTATAATTTGGTTGACAAGGTTAGTCATTTGTTTACCTTAAATGTTCTGCTTTAATTAATATATTCATGAGCAAATAATATTTCTCAGATCTTGAATTTCACAGTCAGCGACTGGGCTCAGCAAACCACCTTTGGCATTAGAAACCATAAATTGACCTCCGCTGCCAACATGGGCAGGTATTTCGTCTTTAGACATCATTTATATTTAACTACGCTGACTAATTCTAAAGCCGCTTTTCAATCCTGATCTGTGTCTGTTTTTGAGCTCGGCATTACAAAATATTAGCCAAGCCTCATTCCCCGCTGTGAAATTCAAGATGTGGGAAATTTAAAATAGTTGTATTGATGAAAATACATTTCCATTTACACAGTAAATGGTGAAAAATATTTTATTCTTTAAGGCTGATTTCAAAAGGTTGCCAAAAACAGATTCTAAAGCCTTGAAAGGATCAACTTAATGGTAGCCGACAACCATGCGTGTTCACTTTGCTAATCTTTCATTTTCGACTCTAATGACTCCTTTCTGTTTAACTTAGCGATGTGACCTTTAGCATACCAGCAAGTCATTTTTCAGTACTTTGGCTCAATTTGGGACGATTTTGCTTTTATTTTCAAGATGATTCCCTCTGAAAACTGAAAAGCTTCTGTAAAATGAAATGCATTTCAGAACATTTTTACCTTCTCACCGTGAGGGGTGCACAGATCCTTGTCATCCAGTGTCTTCGTTGGAAAGGGCAGGACCAGAGCAGGCTGCGCGGCATGGCATGGCGTGCCGTCCTCGGCCACTCGGGGTCCCCAGTCTACTCCCAAACGTGTCTTTGACTGCCGCAGCCGACTCCTGAGTCTTTGAAAATGGAACTTCAAGGCTCTAACTGTTAAAATAGTGATGAACCTGCAAACTTTGTAACTGTTCCTTTGATTTACTTTTTGAACAGAATCGGTCATCTTTGAAGTCCGTCCTTGTTTTTATATTTAGCATGGAACGTCTATACCAAGATTTTAATGCACTGTAGAATTATCTGCCCATTATACAAATATGAATGGCTTCTTTACTCGCTTGTGGTTTCCCTGGGAACCTTCATCAATAGCATCTTTCTAAGCCAACTACCTCCACTCTCAAAGTAACCCAGATAAATCCTTTCATACGCTTAATGTAAATGGAAAATTTTGCTCTTAATCTTCTTCTTATCTAGCCTATTGCCATACTTCTTAGAAATCTGCTCCAGTAAGAAAACATAATCTTTGGGGAGACATATACGATTATATAATTGTGTGTATGTGTGTGCGTGCAATTATCATTCTGCATTGTAGTTCTCTGGAAACAAAAGCAGATGCACTTTCTAATTTAAGACTCTTTGTTGTTGTTACAGGTCTATAAAAAGAAAACCGAGGCTGCTAAGAAGGAGTACCTGAAGCAACTAGCAGCCTACAGAGCCAGCCTCGTATCCAAGGTAACACGCGATTGTGTGGTACTGTGATGGAGTGTGGCCATCTTACTGCAGCCTATGTTGGTCATTTAAAAGCATAAAAGATCACTTTAGCATTTCGGCGCTATCGTCTTTGTGGAAAAAGAAAAAGTAAATCCTCAGCAAAGCTATCTGTGGGGGAAATATTTGTTCATACCTGAAGGAAGACCAGAGTGGCATCCTCTGGGCCTTTTGTGAAATCTTGTCCACTTGCTGATCATTGGCTCTGTGCGTTAGTCACAGCACAGTCTTTCTTTTTTTTTAGCGCAGTCTTTTTTTTTTTTTTTTTTAAGTTTATTTATTTCCTTTGAGAGAGGGAGGGAGTGCGAGCTGGGGACGGGCAGAGAGAGGGAGAGGGAGAATCCTAAGCAGGCTCCGCGCTGTCAGCACAGAGCCCGATGTGGGGCCGGAACCCATGAATTGTGAGATCATGACCTGAGTGGAAATCAAGAGTCAGACGCTTAACCAACTGAGCCACCCAGGCGCCCCACAGCACATTCTTAATCCTGAGCCAACTTTCGATTTCTCCACATCCCCCTCTGAAATTGCCCTCTCCCCCACACCCCATCCCATTGGCCTTAGCTGAGGAGATGCCAACTGACTTAAATTCTAGCCTCATTACAGTATCATTAGGATATTAGCTTGCTAAAGAAATACATAAATAAACCACAGCATTTCATTTGAAAATGAAAATGCCACTTAAAAAAATGTATACTTCAGAATATCTTAAACACTGGTCCTTTCTGTTATAAATACTCAAGGATTGAGTCTCTTTGGTCTCCGATTATCAAAGTTGTGTTTTGCCTCATAGACTTCTCAGGCAGGTCACCTCAGAGAGACGGGACTGAATCTGTAAGCACTGGACAGGATGTCATAGCAAGTCCAAATTTGACTATTACTTGGCTCAGTGTGGCTTGGGGCTCCGGCCTTCCTTCCATTCTCCTACAAAAACTCTCTTTCATCCACAAATATCCACCCCCTTCCCACAGCTCTAAAGCAATTGTATAAATTAGTTTTTCATCAGGGAAAATATCTACTGAATACACTGATGCAGAAAACAAAAGAGAATGCAAAAAACAAATGCATAAGAAATTTCATTCCACTCTTGTTCTAAGGCAACTCTGTTTTTCACTTCTAAGGTATGACATTGTGGGAAAGCTCAACTATTTGGGGGGGGGGGTGCTTGTTTTTTGCTTTTTGGGTTTTTTTAAATATAATTTATTGTCAAATTGGCTTCCATACAACACCCAGTGCTCATCCCAACAAGTGCCCTCCTCAATGCCCATCGCCCACTTTCCCCTCTCCCCCACCCCCATCAACCCTCAATACAACCCTCAGTGTATTTAAGAGTCTCTTATGGTTTGCCTCCCTCCCTCTCTGTAACTTTTTTTCCCCCTTCTCCTCCCCCCTGGTCTTCTGGTAAGTTTCTCAGGATCCACATAGGAGTGAAAACATATGGTATCTGTCTTTCTCTGACTGACTTATTTCACTTAGCATAATACCCTCCAGTTCCATCCACATTGCTGCAAATGGCCAGATTTCATTCTTTGTCGTTGCCAAGTAGTATTCCGTTGTGTATATAAACCACATCTTCTTTATCCATTCATCAGCTGATGAATGTGGCTCTTCCATAATGTGGCTCTTGTTGAAAGTGCTGCTATAAACACTGGGGTACAAGTGCCCCTATGCATCAGCACTCCCGGATCCCTTGGGTAAATTCCTACCAGTGCTATTGCTGAGTCATAGGTAGATCTGTTTTTAATTTTTTGAGGAACGTCCACACTGTTTTCCAGAGCGGCTGCACCAGTTTGCATTCCCACCAACAGTGCAAGAGGGTTCCCGTTTTTCCACATCCGTTGTTCATTTTAGCCACTCTGACTGGCGTGAGGTGATATCTCAGTGTGGTTTTGATTTGTACTTCCCTGACGAGGAGTGACGTTGAGCATCATTTCGTGTGTCTGTTGGCCATCTGGATGTCTTCTTTGGAAAAGTGAACTATTTGTTATTTAACCTTAAAATTTCCAGCTCTCCTGTACTCTCTCACTATGGATCTCATACTTCCTAGTTTATCTCACTCCTTTTGAAGATATTTATATTTTCTGCTGATTCCATCTCCCACTTCTGTATATTTATAGATTCACAGAGTGTGTGTGAAATTATAACCAAAAAATGAGGTACAAAATATTAGATCCAATAGGAAAAAAAGAGAAGTTACAAATTAGTGGATCCATCCAGCCATTGGATGAAATAGTCATGTTGATATTATTTAGATTAATATGCCCCACACGTAAGAGGGACTTTGAAAAAAGTGAATTCTCCTTATGTCACCTAAGTTAAGTTTCTTTTTGAGGATGTTAAATAGAATTCTAGCCAGAGCATCTTACATAGGAGAAAATCAATACATAAAGTCTCAATCCCAATACAAAGCGCTCTGGTTAATGTTATGCAGATTGCCAGAATGCCATAATCTGACTAAGCCTTTACTTTCAAAACAAGTGTCCTCAGATTTGCTCATCACTGCAACTTTTCCTACTGTTCATTCTCAGAGCTGCAACCCTCCGTATACGGCAATTTATATAAACGCTGCGAATTGCCATTTCTACATTTAAAAAACCAAGCACTTTTTTTTACAGCTTACTGTGACGTTTTTGTGTCTGTGTGTGTGTGTGTGTGTTTTCTCTTTGGCGGTAGGAATTTTGCTGGAACGGTTGAATGTCTGTTTATGTACAACTATCTATTGTGTGTATACAAATTGAAGGAAACTTACAAATACCCTCTCCAGGTTAGAAGGAATGGCTCTCTGATGTTACACGTGAGTGGATATTTGCAATGGAACCGTGCAGGCACGTACGGGAAATTTACCAACCTACCTTCCCATTGTACACAGACACGTAAAACACCATTTCTTTTCCATTTTAAGTGGTGACAAGGAAAAATAATAGCCATTCGTATGCACAGGTACACTTTTTCAGTGTTATAATTTTTTTTACATATTATAAATTATTTCCCTATTCTGAAAGATCTAAAGGTACAATCATAAAATGCTACATGATAATAATAGTCACAATTCCAAGTAACCACAGTGCACCAGCCGAGCTCTGTTTGTCCCCATTCCCTCATTCATGTATTCATTTGGCAAATTTCCCTGGGCATGTGGTCTGGGCCGAGCACCGTGCCAGGCTTCGAGGGCGCAGTGGAGAGTAGGCAGATACATCCCCTGAACTTAAGAAGCTTTTACCTTTTGTCCGGGAGACCAATAGCGAAAATGTAAACTAATAAATGACCAAGATCTTGGAGAGTCTAAGCATTCGGAAGGAAATAAAGGAAGGGACTTGATAGGGTGGTCTACAAAGCCCTCTTTGAAGAGGGAACCTTGCAGAGCTAAAGGAAGACCAGGGACTTGCAAGACAGAGAGCCTGAGGGAAAGCCCACCAGGCCGCAGGACAGCAAGCCCAAAGCCTCCCGGGACAGAAATATCTCTTTGAATTGAAGTCAGAGGTCAGCGTGGCTGGAGCTGAATGAAGAGAGGAAGCATGGTTTGAGGTGAAGCCAGGAAGACAGACAGGGGCTGAATCACGGAGACCTTGCAGAACACCGAAAGGAGCTAGATTTTATTCTCAGTACAGAAGGAAGCCACCGAAGGGGCGTCCGTAGAGGACGGGCAATCAGATTTAGAGTTTTAAAACATCACTTTATGCGGACGTGTTCTCTCAACCCCCTTACCTTATCCCTCAAAGGATGCTCGACCGTAAACATTTCACTAAAGAGGAAAAGTATCACATAGGCAACAAGTTGCCCAAGCCCAGAGTTGACCTTTACCGTCCTCAATCCCTGCTCTGGGCCTAGCAGTATATGCTTGACCTGCTCCCTTAAACCACCTCCTTCCCCACGAGTCATGGCACAGCGTTGACCTCCTCACTTCTAACGTCATTGTTGTCAAGGACGAACTACATCAACCACAGCATCGTGTTCATTGTCTGTGTTCTCGTGGGCAAGTTTTGTTAACCCCTCCCTAGCTACGCATTTTGGTACGTGTTCTCACTGCAGTACATTCACTTCACCAGATAGGGTTTCGCTCCCCTCGACCAATAGCTCTTGCCCTTGCTACTTTGCAGCCAAAGTCAAAAGCCCACCCAGGGCTGCACAAGACCTGCTCCACGTCAGGCACAAGCCTTGGTGCTGAGAGCACAAAGATGAACACAGATCAAAGTGAAATGTGTCCCCGTACTTGAAAAGCTTGAAGACTGTATTCTAAAGTTAGCTGCTTCTTATGGAACATAATCAAAAATAGAAACAGCCAGTTAACACTGGCTCCACCTATGAAAACGGAGTCCTAGGATGAGCAACGTTCCTCCCAATTACTATGTTCCAGCTTAAATATACTATATACCTTCTAATCCGGCATATTAATTATCATGACTCTGGGCCGGAATAAAATTGGCATCTACCAAAAATAAAAACACTCAGTCATAGTAAATAAATATTCTAGCCTTCATACTTCAGAACGATAACACGGACACATCGTCAGCAAGATACGGAAACTTTTCCAATCATAACACAAATACAAAAGGCGTCTTGCTGTCGAGTAGCTTCTGTGTGTCACATATGAGGCCTGGAATTTTCCAGGTGTTCCTACTCATCCTTCTCCTAACAACCTACAAGATAATATTTAGCCCATTTTCCAGATGGTCTCTAGGCAGAGAGATTAAATGATCCGCCCACAGAGACGAGAGGCTGGCAGGGGCAGACTGTCCTCAAGCGCCTCGCCGTCTCGTTCGAAGGCTTCTAGGCTTCTTCCATCCTGAGTGATTGTCAAATATTTGTGCCTCTAGAACTACAACCTCTTGTCATCCCCCGAGAAAACTGTATGCCAGCTCTGACGTAGTAGACAGCTGAGAGTAAAGCTGCCATGACTTAACTGAGGTGGAGTGGTGGTACAAGGTTTAAAAGGCTGCCGACTCCCACCCCCCCACTAACCCGCACCC